ATTTTTCTATGTTAATTGAATAAATATTGCTTTTATATATCTTTTATTTTTACATGTATCTTTTGTTTTTAAAAAATTCCCAAAACCTTCCCCAAAAACCCATTGGCCCTGTCCATCACTTTACAAAATATTTTTTTTACGGCGCAGCTTTTTCAGAGCTGATCTAAGATTTTTAAAGCTCTAAAGGGCCAAAAAAACCCGTGAAACCCCAAAACCCTTGTTTTAAAATGGACCTGTTTAGAGTTTGGGGAGGTTTTTGAGTGATTCCCGGATTTAAATCTAAAAATCATTTGCGGTGTTCAGATTTTAAAATACCCTTTTTTTCTAATCAAAGTTTTTTTAAAAAGCTTTAGAGAAAAAATTTAAAGGTAGGGAAAAACCTTTCACAAATTTTTTTTTCAATTATCCCAAAAGTGACGTTTTTGAAAAATTGGCCCCATACATTGGTTTTTGTAGACGGTCGATAACTGTTTGGGAAAAATAAAAAAAGGTACCCCCTTACTGGGTGACAAAGGACCTGGGGGCAGTAAAGTAAAAGGGCAAAAGTTTTTTACAATTTAATCCCCATTCATCGAACCAAATTTCATTGTTTCGGGCCGTTTGCCACTCATTGGGAAAAAAATACAAAATAAAAGAAAAGATTTTAACAAAATGTGCAGATAATTTTTTATTATTTACAAAAGCTTGATTTACAATTTAATGAAAAAAAAATCAAACTGTTTTAATCCAGGGAAAAGGGGTTTGCCTTTTTAGTGAAGTAACAATATTACACAATTTAAAAATGAAAAAAATAATAAAATGAAAAATTGAAATTTTTTATTGGGAAAGGGTACTTTAAAAAAATCCTGCACTGAAAAAAAAGGGAAAAGCCAAAAACATATTTTTTCAAAAAAAAGTTAAAAGCTACATGTTTTATCTTATCGGAACAGTTTTAAAAAGTAAAAATTTAGTTCAAATTGGGGGGAAGGAAGGACAATAGGGGAAAAACCTACATGAAATAAAAAATATATATCAATTTTAAAAAAAAAAAGCGAAAATACCCTTTTTATTTCAACACCCAAATTTCCCCAAAAAATTTTGGATATTTTGCATTATCCCCCAGTGTCCACCCTATAGGCCAAAAACACTTTCACAAAATTTCCCCTTTTATCATCTGGCGGGTTTTAAACCCCTTGCCTTGTCGTCTTCTTTTAGTTTCCCCTTTTGGCATACTTAAAAAAAATATTTAAAGGGCAAAACCTCCCCAAAAAAAAAAAAAAATGACATTTTTATCCATTTCGATTTGGGTATCAGGGTTTACAATCAATTTAAAGAGCGTATGCAGAATTAAAGAGTGGTAATTAAACAAGTGGTGGGAAAGGGAGGGGTTTCCCGTTACTTTCGTTTTTGATATTTTTTTGATAAAAAAAAATTATGGAAAATTAACAACATTTGAATTAAGAGTATTTATTTATTTTAAGAAATAAAAAGATGTAAAATCAAAAATTTAATAAGGTCAATATCCCTTTGGGGTTGAAAACAGGCCCCCCCCCAAATTTTAAAAAATTTGAAATAGTTACCTAAGACACTTCGCATTTGTTTTTTTCAGTCCTTGTACGATTTGGCCCATCGTTTGATGTCTTTTTCAGCCCGGGGGACATACCAGTCTAAAATGGTGATTTTTCCCCGGAAAAAAATAAAAAAACAAATTTTAAAATTTATTAAAATTTTACAATTTTTGCATGTCTAAAAATTTTAAAAGAGACAATTTTGTTTTAATTTTATAATTTAAAAAGCGTTTAATTATTAATTTTATGAAGAAAATTTATGCTTTATCCCAATTTTTTTATGCAAATCAATTATCACAAAGTTATTCCCGATAATACGTTACCAGCTTTAGCGGAATCCCACCAAATAAAAAAGATGAGATAACAGTGTATTAAAACTTAGGCGCATCATTATGCAAAACCTGATCTAAAATAAATAAATATATAAAAATGATTTACAGTCAACATATTGTAGAAGAGATTGGTAAAATGTGTATTTCAGCGGAATAACTGCTCAGTGGGAAAATAAAATACATTAGGACTTGTGTCCGTTACCAATATTATGATGCACTGTATTGTAGAGGAGCGTGTATGCTCCCATATAAAAAGCTATGACTATAACATGATAAAAAGCAGATTTTCGTTTCAGATACTTGCATTTGAAGGTAAATTATACCTAGAATTCTACATTATTTACCTCTTTTTGTGAAATATTGCAAGCATGTGTAAGAAAAACGTTTTAATTAATGCCTTTACAACATGTTATGTTAGATGTTAAACAGCTGGAAAAAGCAACGCTAAATTGGATTAACTGTGTCGTTAATGTAGCAAATTGTAAATAAAGTAATATTTTGACTTCCATGCAGAAAAAGGAAATCACTATTTTTTCATAAACTTCCAAAGGATGAAAAGGCAAAAGAAAGTTCATCTTTTAGTTGAAATGTTTAAAGCTTTACTGTCATCAAAGGAACTTGAAATTTTATCAATAATAACAATTGCGTCCATCTTTTTCAAATTGCGCAAGCCTATATATAAAAAGGGATGGGAAATCCTATAGAAAATCTGAATACACTGGTAGGTCCTTAATATTTAAATCTAATATGTAACTATATTTTCACTTCAAGACATACTATTAGTTTCAAACTTTACATGTTTACATCATTACACGATGTACGAACAAAACCGAAACACGCGCGTAATGTTTAATACATTTTATCGTCCATGAATTAATATGATAGTATATCATATTCGTATATAGCTTTTTAACCTCACATACCGTTTGGTAAAGGTCCATTAAGCCTAAAATTGCGAATGTTTTACAAAATCTCTTTTTTAATACTCTGTTACAGTTCATTTCAAAGGTTTTTTTTTCTTTTTTTTTTTATTTTTTATTATTTATTTATTTATTTTTGACATTTTGCAATAAGTACAATTATACTGATTGAGTATTTTGTATGGAAGTAAAGATGCTATTTCGTTAACGTTTAGCCACCTTTATCACACATTTTTCATTCATCGCTTCTTATGGTGTTAAACATCTTAAAAAGTTAACATCTATTGCTTCAACATTTGGAAAACATATTTGCTCTTTCGACAGAAAAAATATGTGTTCAGTTAAGCTCACCAGTCAACGCTGAACTGTTAGCAATGTTCTATTTATTAAAGTAAGATTTAGAAATTATTTTGTAAAAGTAAGTACAGTTTAAAGGTGATCTGTCCAAACTTGAAAGAATCATACACTAAAGTCTGTCTTAGTGACCCCCTGTATATAGCGACGTTCTGTCTTTAGTGACCATAGTTAGTTGCGCCGAACAGTATTTACTATATAAATGGTCTGTATGTAGCGACTCCCTGTCTAGTCCGTACAGCGACCATGAGTTAGTCACCCGTGACGGTATTTGAGCCCTGAACAGCGACTTTTGCAAGGGGAGCAAGGCTTGAAGTAGGTGACGACTTGGGCGAAGAAGTCGCCTTCGGATCAGCGACTTTGCTTAAAACAAACTTCAAAGAGATTTTGAAGTCGCCCGATTTTTATAGTTTTTTCTGTCATACTTATTTACGCCGCTAGGTCTGTTAACAATTTGTACAACCATATACCGTTAATACGCTAATTAAGAACGTGTGTCAACATAAACAAAGTTCAATACACGCCGCAAGGCAAGAGTTCACTATGTTTATCTTTCTCATTACGTATTCATGCGATTGACGAATCAGAACGCGCGTTGTATCTACGGCAGTTTGCATTGACCAATCGGCGACACGCTAATACACTGTTGCTGTTTGTTGACAATTACACAAAGTGGCGACAGATTCAATCAATTTTCGCCGAAAAAAATGATTAAAGACACCTGTATATACATGGCGAGTAAAGATAAACAATGCCAAACGTCTTAAAGGTATGGTTATGTATGAAACCTCGATTGTTATTTTTTTTCGGAGCACTTATCTGTAGAAATTATGCGAAGATTTGTATCTAATGTTTTATTAATACATTGAACTCCGTAAAGTAATAATACAAAATTAAATGTCTCTACAGTAACATCTCATTAGTAAAATTGAAATTAATATTTTTTACAAACAGATTTTTCAATATAAATTACATTTTTAATCAATATGTAACTTTTAAATACTAATGTTATGGTGTACTTTATAATCTTAACCAATTAAACATGCAATTTTAATGCTCTCTTGTTTTTTATAAATGATATTTGATATGTTTAATATCAATAAAAAAAACTTATTAAACCCTTAGTATGGTACTATCCTGCTTTTCAACAAAATATTGGTATGATATGTTAGTATATCCGAATTATGTAGAGACTGTCCACAGTGACTCCCTCTCTATAATGACCTTTTTGCGACGGACGCGCCCTCAGGCGCGTTCAGAGCTAAGTCATCTACACATGGGATTTCGTCGGCTACAATCGCGCAAAGTGTCCTAAACCGATTAACAGCCCAAGAAATAGTACATGAATTTGATCCTTCAAAACTCCCATACTTTGTCGGGATATCTTAAAATCTTCCATATTTAGCCTTTTCAATTTCAAATTAGGTTATCCAAGTTAAAATATGAACGTAAATTATTGATTAAAACGTTGTAGTCCCGTAGTATTGTTGCGCAATATGCAAATTACTGCCGAAACGATTTACCGCTGTCGAAAAAGTAGGACAGCAAATTATACTACAATAAAGGTGTAAGCTCTGAGTTCCAAGACATTATTAGTAGGAAATAAATATTTCTACTTTATACAAAACATTATTATTAACAAAGCAAAAGTTTTTCGTGACTTCAGGATAACTCGCGCATTAATAAAAGAAGAACTATTTTCGTGACTCATACCGCGGGTTTAGCTGAATATTCAGCAGTTATTAAAAAATTAGATACAGTACAATGGTTAGTATTTTGAAAATGCATGTAAGAAGAGAGTTTTTCAACACTTTACCACCATGTAGTCTTTCATGGTCAGGAAGTTATAATATCCACACACTAGTCAATATAGCATTAGTCCTTATAGCAGCAGGCCTCAGGGGTTTTACTATTAAAATGACTTTCAATGGCTTTTTAGATCATCTATAAGCAGTGGGATATTGTGACCATGTCTTGATGTCTGCAGGACAATACTGGCAACCTGTTGCATTGTTTCTCCCCTTTCCAGAGCATGTTGAGACTGACACTTCCATTAAGTCCTAAAATACATATAAATTAGAAGTTTAAAAAATTGTATAGGATATAAATAGCACTTAAAATGAAACTTAAAACAAGAATGTCGAACGACACATATGCCCCCTTTTCTAGCCCTTGACACACATAATTGGTAGTTTTGTTACAGAAACTTGCCATAAATGGGTACATGGAAGTGTTCAATTATGGAAAAAAGAAAAATAATGGAGACTTTGTGATAAATAGTTTTCAAATGATAATCAGATATTAGAAAACTACAGACCAAAAATCAATAGAGGCCACCAATCAAAATCAGAAATATGATGACCCTGTGACCTTGACCTTTGACCCAAAAATTACTTTGGTTCATCCACTAATTATGATTAATCAATATGTGAAATATGACAACTTTGTGTTGAATACTTTTCAAGATAATCAGCTAAAACCGTTCTGACATTTAAGACCCCTGTGAGCTTGACCTTTAACATAGTGACCCAAAAATCAATAGGGGCCATCTACTAGCTATGACCAATCAATATGTGAAATATGACTTCTTTGTGCTTAATACTTTTCAAGATAATCAGCGGAAACCATCTTGACATTTGAAGCCTCTGTGACCCTGACCTTTAACATAGTGACCCAAAAATCAATAGGGACCATCTACTAGTTATGGCCAACCATCTACTAGTTATGGCCAACCATCTACTAGTTATGGCCAATCACTATGTGAAAAATTAAAGAGTTTGTGATAAATAGTTTTCAAGATAATCAGCGGAAACCATGTGGTCTACTGACAGACAGATCAACATTTGCAAAACAATATACCCCCTTTTCTTCGTAGGGGGCATAATTAAGATTATTTTTAACTGAATATTCTTTTCACAACTGAAAAATACCATGGCATAAAAGAATATTTATACAAGAGGGCCATGATGGCCCTAAGGTCGCTCACCTGTATGTAGGCCCTCGGAGCTGGGCCAGTTTGAACCCCAGGGCTTTTATTTGAACAAACTTGGAAGACACCTATAAGAAGATGATTCATGATATACACACTTATAATGAAAAACAATGATCTGCCGTCCCCTACCCCGGCAGGGCCAATTTTAACAAAGGGCTTTTATTCCAACAAACTTTGTAGACACTCACTAGAAGATGTTTCGTGCTAAATATATTAGCTCTAGGTCTTTGAGTTCTTTAAAAGAAGATTTTTTTAGTTTTTACTATATACATATGGGGAAAATAAATGACCCCCTGGGGCGGGGCCAATTTTGAATCCAGGGCTTTTATTTTAACAAACTTGGTAGACACCCATTGGAACATGTTTCATGCTAAATATCTCAGCTCTAGCTCTTTGAGTTATTTAAAAGAAGATTTTTTAAGTTTTTACTATATACATATAGGGAAAATCAATGACCCCTGGGACAGGACCAATTTTGACCCCCAGGGCTTTTATTTGAACAAACTTGGTAGACACTCTTTAGATGTTTCATGCTACATATCTTAGCTCTAGCTCTTTTGGTTCTTTAAAAGAAGATTTTTTTAAGTTTTTACTATATGCATATTTGGAAAATCAATGACCCCCTGGGGCAGGGCCAATTTTGACTCCAGGGCGTTTGTTTTTGAACAAACTTGGTAGACACTCACTAGAAGATGTTTCATGCCAAATATCTAAGCTCTAGCTCTTTGGGTTTTTTTAAAAGAAGATAATTAAAGTTTCTTCTTTCGGTTGCCATGGCAACCAGAGTTCTGCATGGAATTAAATTCTTTGAACAATTTTTAAAGGTGACCACCAAAGGAACATTCCTGAGAAGTTTGGATGAAATTGGCTTAATGGTTTATGAGGAGATGTCATTTAAAGTAAAAGTTCACAGACGGACGGCCGGACGCTGGACGAAAAGCGATCACAAAAGCTCAACCTGTCATTTTGTGACAGGTGAGCTAAAAATGTATGGCAAAGGAACACATTTGATATCAGAAAATTACAAAAAAATACCTTTATATTTATAATATTCTTAAATATTTTTTACAACATGCTCATGATAAAATATGTCAAAAAATATTATGGCAAACTAACCTGATCCCTCTGCACAAACACAAATCTCATGGAACTTTCTTGGTGTCCTAATACATATTGAACCAACATATTGAGAATAGGGAATTGGGATAGTGCACTTGCTGGGCATAATCCAAAGGGTAGGAGTACTCTACATCAAGAGTGCATGGTGGAGTGCCTGAAATGTACAGTAGTAAATTTATAAATTATGTATTACTGATATACAGCTTTTACAATTTATATAACAGATTTTGCTAAAGTCCCAAAGTTTTGCTGCCAATGTAATTCCTTTAATATACAGTCGAACTTCGTTCGCTCAAAGTCCGAGGGCATGTGCAAATTTGTTCAAGAGATCGGTAGTTCGAGCCAACCGAGGTATATACAAACAATAACAAACCAACCATTTCTTCCCGCCAAAAAGTCCTTTGTTCTCCAAGCCAGCTTGTAATTAGGTCACCTAGACATTCTAAATCATAGCTAACACGAACTGACAATGGGAAATCAAGCAGATCATTAAATAAACACTAATCTACAATATAAATAAAGCATAAAAAATCAATACTTACAGTTTAAACTTGCTAGTACATTTAAATTATCGCTCTGAAATAAACCCTCTCTCTTCCTTAATGGCTGCCTGTTTGTTGATGTTTTTTCATTGGCTTACATTGTCACGTGATCAAATCAACATAGGTGTGGACTAAGTTATTTCCATTGCAGTTCTGACTTTAATTGTTTTAATCACAATTTAATCCCCGAAAAAAATATGTTGAAACAATTCCAGAATTAACACAAATCTTAAAATTACCGAAAACATTAAATGTTATATAAATTGTAAATAAAGGTTTTACATTTCACCCCTAGATAAAACATAATGGACTCAACCAAAAACAAGCGTCTCTCTCTTTATTTAATGATGTATTTACATGACCATGATCAACACATAAATCTCCAGACCAATTGTAAGACGAAACTATTGTAAAAATAATACTATGACCACAGCAGATTTCGTACAGAAAAGTTTAGTTTTTTATTTGTTTGGGTCGTCAGACCAAACAAATAATGGTAGCGAAATTTCAGAGTCTAATGTTCTTAATTGCAAATGCCGAAAGTAGTCCACTTTTTTGAAGCGGTTACTTCCCTTTTGTATGTACACTAAAGCCGAAAAATTCAGGGGAGATCACTGCGTAAAGATGGTCAAAGACAGGCGCATCAATTTTCAAGCAAAGTAATTCCCGAATGGTCGAAGATTTCTAATATTGTTTTCTGGTATTTTCTGATCGAAAATAACTAAATACAAAGCGGACATTCAATCTCTGACACAGAAGTTTATGACAAACCTAACAACAAGTAGTTCTCAAAACAGCTTAAAACTAGCGATTTAAAAGAAAGAAATATTTTATTTTGTTACAAGTATCCAACAAATTACAACGCATTTAAAGTTAAACAATAGCGTTGGCTTATAGAATTGTCAATAAATGCACAATCACAAATTACGCGGATGAATATGATTTTATCAATGAAAATACTATTTTTAGCCATGTAGATTTCCGAATACTACACAAACCGAGTAGTGGAATATATAGATTCTACATGTCGGACTGTTTGGGCGAGAGGATTTTCGCTAAAATATTTACTTCAATTTTAAACAACAGGTTTACCCTGAACAAAATACCTCGAAATTAATAAGGATTACAAACCTGAATGCAATGGAAGTTCTAAATTTAGAATGACTTGATATTATTCAGACGTTCTGTGTATAACTTCTCCGTGGTACAGTGGTAACGCGCTCGCTTAGTGAGTGAGAGGTCTCGAGTTCGAATCCAGTCGAGGAAATTTTTTTTTTTGTTAAATTCTTTTTTTAATTGTTTTTGTTAAGGAAGTAGCCATGATTTACAAGGATAAAGTGTGGCTGTCGTAAAAAAAGTACATAATGGTTTTTTGATGCAACTCTAGTTATGCAGAATTCCGTATGTGCCTTACAAAATGAATTATAATACATAAAAATAAACTTATACAGGAAAATGCATACAGATATACAGTACGATTTAGATTGCAAAGATCAGAAAATACCAAAGAACTTGAAGCCCTTTGATTCTTTATAAATATACATGCTTATAGTAAGCTTCAGGATTATTTACATCTGTGTTAAACAACAGTTAAAAGTCGTTACAAGCCCTAATTTAGAATAATATGGTTTTCTTCAGGCCGTTTACTTATAAATTTAACCGTGGCTGAAGGGTTTTCGGGCTCGCTTAGGAAGCGAGAGGTCTGGAGTTCAAATCCCAGTAAAGGTAACTCATTTTTTTTAAATTGTTAAAGTCAAATAAACATTGGATTGAATATCAGTGTTGCAATTAGTCTTATAGCCAATTTACTACAATTAAAACGCTGGAAAGCATTGGTGGCACTAAACATATAATCTCACAACCTGCACCTTTCTTACATTCTGAGACCCAAACAAATTCAGCGCCTTCTGTGCTTTGATTCTTAATACTTTTGAATACAGACGTCACCTTACTTTCGCGACGATAAAAACATTAAACTATGCAAGTGTTGCTTGTGTGTTAATATTGCTAGTTTTTATATAAAATAAATAATAAAAGATATCATCGTTATACTTTTGATATTGTTTTTGTTGTTAATTTTATTTTATTTCTTGATAAGTGTTTATATTTTAAAGCAAAATAAATAATAAAAAAATGGGGCCGGGTTGACCAGAAATAACATTGGATTGGGGCCGGGTTGACCAATTTGGGGCCGGGCTGACTTGGGGCCGGGTTGACTTGGGGCCGGGTTGACTTGTACCGTATAATATCAGTTCTACTTCCGATGCTTGTGGTTTGTTTACATATTTTTCTAGGTCACATTATTCTAAAAATAGATTCTGCTTCACCTGGCCTGATTTTTGGACAGGCGATAAGGGAGTACACGTTATACATGTAATATTACAGAGCTCCAGATAGCGTACGTATAAGCGTAAAATACGCATAGAAAATCTAAAATACGCATCACAATCAAAATTCGTACGTCAAAGTTTCGCTCAACAAAATGAAAATACGCTTGTATGTCAAAACTTAAGCGTGAAAGAATAGAAGAGTAAACATTTGATATTTAGAAAGAGGATGTTTTGGGCAAAAAAACTACAATATATTTCCATTTAATTGCATTGAGAACAAAAAATTATGTTGTCAACAACGCATGTTAAAAACGAAAGTAGCAGGAAGTACAGAAGGGAGGTAACTCCCGTAGATCAACCTGTGAAATTATTGATAAAATTTGTGCCAGATAATCATCGTAGGAGTTAACATAGTATTAAGTTTGTTTAGGAGGCATCTATTGACATGCTTATGCCTCAATATAAACAAAAATATATTTTAATTTCTTTCACTTTTGTTGTTGGAACAAAATAACATGTTTTTCATGCAGCTTCAATGTACTCAATATTTTCGTACCCAGTCTACAGTTACGGACACTTTTCTCTCAGACCAATATTTTTTTTAAGGAAAGATAAAAAAATTTTGTTTATTTTTCTTTAATTCTAATTTCAACTATAATTGTTCAAACTGGAGTACAAAATAAGGTATATGCCAACAGGAATAAAGAAAGAAAAATATTGAATCCTTGAATATAAAATAATTTCAGGGCTTCCACTAGTGGAAGTTTAGGAGTCATTTACTCCTTCATTTTAGCCTGTGACTTCCGAAAATCAAATTCTTTTCCTTCTTTACCTATATAATGTGACTTCCAATATCAGAGATTTTGAAGTCTGACTTCCAAATTATGAAAATGGAAGCCCTGATAATTTTGCTGTGTATCCTAAACTTGAGTTTCAGTATACTTTACAGGGCATATTTTGTATTGTTTCACATTGAATCAGTATTTTATTTGTAAAGGTTTTTTCTAAAAAAAAAAAAGGGAAATAAACAAACAAACAATAACTGAATAAGTTTAATTTGTTTATAAAAAATGCAAAATGCTTTTTTGACAGACAGATTTTACCCCTTTAGTTTTTCAGAATTTGCATTTTACCCCTCACTTTAAATTTTGAGGGGTAAAAACCCCTTGGCCAAAATAATTATCTGGAGCTCTGTATAAATAAACCAGCGGATTACATGCAATACTTTAAGAAATTCTATACAATTGTAAGAAGCAAACAAGTTGAAAATAAAATTTAGTGTGAAATTGAAAAGGACAACTAAACACTGTAGTGCTTAAGTGACATTTAAATTAAAATAAAAACGATGTGCTCTGGCCTCTTCATCTTTACCTTGTAAATAAAAAAAATCTAAAAAATACACTATTAATTGCTGATGATTTTAACTAAAACTTTTTAATGAGACATATCCAAGAGAAATCAAAATACAAATGAGTTATATTTTATTGTCTATATGCCCACTATGATATAACACGAAGCAATTCTAAATAGCATTCTCAAATGTATAATGTATTATGCTTGAAGTTTATTTGCATGGTTTTATTTTAGAAATATTTCGTTGACAGTATTTTTTTTCTCTTTTTACATATCATTTCTTGGAATAAATCGATAAGGACACTGATATACAAGTTTGGCCAGAGTTTTTAGGCATAAATTTCATTCTGTATTTAAGTGCTTGAAAGTAGAAAATCTGAATTATGTCAGTTTGGGACACAAAATATATTGCTCTACAAATCTCGAACTTGTATGGAACAAATTTTCTCTGTTATATACTTTGGGTTTTGTTTTTGTTTTGTTTTTTTCCTAAAAAAAGCCTAAATGTCTCTCCGGTTGCATGTCCGTCGCATTCAGTGCTGCAGCACTTTGATTTTTCTTTTCTCCCATCGAAGGTCACTGTAAACAGTCTTTACTGTATTTAAAAATGAGTAATATGCAAACATTAAATAAATATATACATAAATGTACATACCTTTTTACTTTGCTTCCTCCGATGTAATAAGGAAATATTTCCTTAAATGTTGATTTTGTATATACAAATGTATGTTGTTCTTACATTTATGCTTATAAAATGATGATATTGCTGTTGTTGTTGTTGTTGTTGTTGTTGTTGTTGTTTGGTGTTGTTGTTGAAACAGAGGGGAATTAATTTTTTTTGTTGTTGTTGTATTTTTATGTTAAGATAAGACGGAGTAAAATTCCTCTATTTACATGAAATAATCATTCTTGTACTTTCTTTTCAAAATAATATCTTTGTACCATAATCTTCTTAAACCGAAAACTTTGTAGCAAGTAAATATGCAACTTGTATCTTTGAAAAGGGTGTTTAACCCTTTATCGCATTAGCACATTGTAAAAAATGGCCGTTTTCATTGAAAAGCCTCCTGTTACAAATTCAAACCGCTATGAAACTTTGAGAAATGTTTCAATATTAATGAAATTTGGCACAATTGTTAACCTGACCATATAGCCTCTGTAACTGCATGCTCAATTTTAAATTTCTTGTTACGATGGCAACGGTGGGACGTCTCAAATTTGCCAAAAATCATTATTTTGCATTGTTTTACTCATCAAAACAAACCAAATTCAAAGTGCTGCAACTTCTCAATGGATTGAGGCAGAGTAAAAGGCTTTTCAGCGTTGGAAACACGTTACGTTACGATCGACCTGAGGTCAATTTTAGCCTGTCACATGTCCAAACTTTTCTTGGCGATGAGGGGACTGCTGCATCCCTTCAAACCCCGATACAGAAGGGGGTATATCCCCTTTCTGGCAACCCCCTGGTGTACCTTTTTGATAGAAAAAAATAGAAAGGTTATCACTTTTTTGTTATTATTTCTCGAACAGAAACAGTGTTTGGGCCCTAAATAGGGCCTTTTTACTGTTTGAGGCCTCAAAGGGGGGATGGGTCGAAAGTGCGTTGTTTCGCGTATATATGAGGAGTAAACCTGGTTTAAGCATTGTTTAGTTGCATAGCCTGTGTATTTACCGGAAGTCAATAGTTAATAAAAAAAATTGTTTCATTTGTGAATGAGATATAGTCTG